ATCCAACGACAATATCAATAATAAAAAGGACCCACTTATCTCTGAAACCTCAACACCTACCAGGACCTCCCACTTTTAGTGAAACCAATCCTCCATTGCCTAAACTTTTGGTACTAAAAAACTCCAACCTCCGAACCTCTTGACCGAGAATCGTTGGAGATATTCCACTGCACAATCACAAGAGAATCAATCAACCTTAAAAGCGCAATCAAAGTTCCTCTCTGCCGAGACACTTGAACTAGGTAATTGGGCTAGTCCCAAAACTCTGACTTCTAAGAAAGATCCCTCCACACCACCTTGCTAATAAACTATCCAAACTCAACAAAAACCTTCGCCATCTCCTCCCCACCCAACCCTTAGGCTCTGGAAAAAACCCCGCACCAAAGGGTTGCCACCCTCCACTTAAACTCCCCCCCATATTTTGGTGGCAAAACACTCCAACCACTCGAGGTTCCCAACTCTGACATCTGAAGAAGCAACAATTTTTGTCCTCCATAGAACCCTCCACCAACACCAAGCAAGCCTATCCAAGCACCTCTCGACGGAGCCAAACATCTCAATGCACTCCTCTTCCCTCTCAATCCACCTAAACCATGAATTGTCTTTGTCGTGATCTTTGAGTTTGAGCAGATAGAGCAACTACCAACCCACTTGCGAAAGTACCTTCCGTTCTCCACTGCCCCTATTTAGACAAATTTTTATGCTTATGGCCACCCTCAGCAATCAATGAGATTCAAAAATAAATAAGTAAAAATTGAATTCATTGCAAAGAATCTTACATTTATTGAACGTTTGGATATACTTAAAAGATACATTGGTGCAATCATGTGAAACTTTGAATAAGAACATTGTATAAATATGTTTCGTTTAATTTAATGTCAGTGATCAATGAGATTCAACAAAGAAAAACAAAAATTGAATTCATGATAAAGCATCTTACTTTTATTGAATGTTTGAATACACTTGCCAAATAAATTGGAACAATCATTGTGGAACTTTGAATGAGAACATTGTATACATATGTTTCATTTAATTCAACTATACTGAGTAACTATAATATTTATTATTCTTTAAGTGGATTCAGAGTCACAAAAGTACCAATTTAGAATTTAAAGATACCGAGACAACGCAGATCTCTGAGAGTCCTACGATGGTGGGTCGTTGGGGTAATGGAGAGTCCACATCACTAGTATCCCATGTTCAAGTGTAAAAAAATGAAAACATTCCTCCAAAGAAAACAAGAAAAGCATAAAACGTAAAGAGGAAAAATGGAAGGCGATTAACCCACCTCCAAGGGTGAAGGGAGCATGTGATAACTGAGAAGAGGAATTCGATTTATTGAATTGATCAACACCAGAGCTAAGTACAAATATATAACCTCATAGAATAAACCCTAATAACTTAGAAGACTAAATTACCCTTAATGGATAATATAAACTACAAATACATATAAACTATAATAATTCACAACCCCCTCTCAAACTGAGGATGCGAGCACAAAAAGTATCGAAAGTTTGCCAAGAAGAAAACGAAAACGAGTAACAGTGTGAGTCTTCGTAAAAAAATCGGCCAACTGAAGAGAAGAGGGAACAAAAGGGAGAGCAAGAGTGCCAGCTTGAAGATGCTGTCTGATAAAGTGACAATCTATTTCAACATGCTTAGTCCGCTCATGGAAGACTGAATTATGGGCAATCTAGACAGCACTCTGATTATCACAATAGAATGGAGTCAGATCAGAAAGAGAGACACCCATGTCAGAAAGAAGCCACCGAAGCCAAACGATATCGGAAGTAGCATGAGCAATGGCACGATATTTAGCCTCAGCAGTGGAACGAGCAACAACAAACTGTTTCTTACTCTTCCAAGATATGAGAGAATCTCCGAGAAAAACACAAGGACCAGAAGTGGGTTTGCGATCAGAGACGTCACCTGCCCAATCAGCATCAGCATAGGCACGGAGAGTCAAGTCCGAAGAGGCAGATAACAGTAGACATTGCAACAAAGTGCCACGAAGGTAGCACAAAGTACAAAGTAAAGCAGCCCAGTGTGTGGAACGAGGAGCAAAAACAAACTGACTGAGAATGTGCACAGCATATGAGATATCCGGACGAGTAACAGTGAGATAAATAAGGCACCCAACCAACTCAAGATACAAAGTAGGATCCTCAAGAGGAACGCCATCAGAAGCAGAAAACTTAGCATGCAACTCAATAGGAGTGTCGACAATTTTGTCATCAGTGAGATTGACACGAGAAAGAATATCATGGACATATTTAGTTTGAGAGAGAAGATACCCAGTAGGAGAAGTAGCAACCTCAATACCAAGAACATATCGAAGAGACCCCAAATCCTTCATCTCGAACTCCTGAAACAATTGATGCTTAACCTCCTCAATAGTACTAGAATCAGAACCAGTGATGATCATATCATCCACATACAAAAGAAGGAGAACAAGGCCAATAGAAGTGCACCGAACAAATAAAGCACAATCATGATGACTAGGGTGAAAACCAAGCTGAAGTGTAACAGAGTGAAATCGCTCATACCAAGCACAAGGAGACTGCTTGAGACCATATAAAGCATGGCGAAGACGACAAACAACACCAGGAGGGTGAGAAAGACCCGATGGAGAACACATATACACTTCTTCAACAAGATGCCCATTCAGAAAGGCGTTTTTCACATCAAGTTGAAATAAAGGCCTTTGATGTGCAGCGGCAAAAGAAATAAGAGTGCGAACAGTAGTCATCTTGGCAATGGGGGCAAAAGTCTCATCGTAATCAATCTCATACTCCTGAGAAAAGCCCTGGGCAACCAAAGGAGCTTTGTACCATTCCAAAGAACCATCAAAAAGAGTTTTGACCTTACACACCCATTTACAACCTACAACATTCTTGCCAGCAGGAAATGGAACCAAATCCCAAGTCTGAGTGTTAGCCAAAGCAGTTAACTCGTCATTCATGGCAGCAATCCAATTGGGATCATGACAAGCTTCCTTGTAGGACCTAGGCTCAAAATAAGTGTGCAGACAAGAAAAAAAAGACTGATAGGAAAGGGAAAAACATGTATTACAAAAACCATATCAGTTCGGAGGATGACGATCTCGCTTTGGAAAGCGATGTGCAGGAGGAGCAGGATCCAAAGAAATAGTTGGAGAAACAGTAGAGCTAGAGACCGACGTGCTCGAAAGTGCTTTACGGCGCAGATAAACAAGAAGAGGAACAGGGGAAGCGGGAGCTAGAGAGGGAGCTGGCGAGATATCAGAAGTGCTAGTCAGAGGCAAGATAGAGACCTCAAGATCAGAAACAAACTCATTGGGAGAAATATCTTGAGGAAATGGGTCAACATGAACTAATTCATCCTTGGTAAAAGGAACAGGGGTGGAAGGTATAGTGTAGCAGGGTAGTTTTTCTAAAAAGGTGACATGCCTAGACACATATAGCTTTTTGGTGGCAGGATCATAGCATCGATAACCTTTCTGATTAATGTCATACCCTAAAAAGACACATAGGACACAACGAGAACTAAGCTTAGAGCGCGCCCGTTTAGGAAGGAGCACAAAGCATGCAAAACCAAAAATACGCAAAAGAGAATAATTTGGAGTAACACCAAAAAGACGCTCATACAGAAATGAGCCAGAGAGAAGAGGAGTAGGCATCCGATTGAAAAGGTATCCAGCAATGAGCACAGCTTCTCCCCAAAAGACAGAAAGGACAAAAGACAAGAGCAACAAAGAGCGAGCTGTATCAAAGAGATGGCGATGTTTACGCTCAGCTCGACCATTTTGGGCAGGAGTGTCAGAACATGAAGACTGATGAATAGTGCCATGAGTAGCTAAAAACTCCTCAAACTCGAACAAGTAATACTCACCCCCCAAATCAGAACGAAGAACTTTAATTGTGGTAGAAAACTGAGTACGAATCACGGAGTGAAAATTAGAATATATTTTGTAAAAATCAGAATTTTGAATCATCAAATATACCCAGGTAAACCGACTATAATCATCCACAAAAGACACATAATATTGCGAACCACCCTTCCAAAGAAACAGCTGGAGGGACAGTAGAGCTAGAGACAGGTGAGCTCGGAAGTGCTTTGCGGCGTTGATAAACAATAAGAGGAGCAGGAGAAGTGGGAGCAGGAGAAGCGGGAGCTGGAGATGAGGTAGCTGGAGAGGTATTAGAAGTGCTAGTAAGAGGCAAAGTAGAGACCTCAAGGTCAGAAACAAACTCATCAGGAGAAACATTAGGAGGAAATGGGTCAACATGAACCAATTCATCCTTAGTAATAGGAACAGGGGTGGAAGGTATAGTATAGTAGGGTAGTTTTTCTAAAAAAGTGACATGCCTAGACACATATAGCTTTTTGGTGGCAGGATCATAGCACCGATAACCTTTCTGATTAATGCCATACCCTAAAAAGACACATAGGACACAACGAGAACTAAGCTTGGAGCGCGCCCGTTTAGGAAGGAGCACAAAGCACGCAGAACCAAAAATGCGAAGAAGAGAATAATTGGGAGTAACACCAAAAAGACTCTCATACGGAGATGAGCCTGAGAGAAGAGGAGTAGGCATCCGATTGAGAAGATATGCAGCAGTGAGCACAGCTTCTCCCCAGAAAACAGAAGGGACAAAAGATGAGAGCAACAAAGAGCGAGCTGTATCAAGGAGATGGCGATGTTTGCGCTCAGCTCGACCATTTTGTGCAGGAGTGTCAGAACATGAAGACTGATGAATAGTTCCATGAGTAGCTAAATACTCCTCAAACTCAGACAAGTAATACTCACCCCCCAAATCAGAACGAAGAATTTTAATGGTGGTAGAAAATTGAGTGCGAATCATGGAGTGAAAATTAGAATATATTTTGTAAAAATCAGATTTTCGAGTCATCAAATAAACCCAAGTAAACCGACTGTAATCATCCACAAAAGCTACATAATATTGCGAACCACCTTTGGTAACTATAGGGGAAGGACCCCAAACATCAGTATGGACCAATTGAAAAGGAGAAGATGAAATAGAACTACTTTTATTAAAAGGAAGAGCAGACATTTTAGCCAGTTTACAACCACGACACTCAGAAATATCACTAATGGGAAAATTGCCTAAATGTCCAGACCTAACTAACATCCTCAACCGATCACTCGACAGATGACCTAACCTAGAATGCCAAATATAAAACAAAGATGACTTATTGTTTAAACAAAAAGAAGACAATGCAGTAGAAGACACTTCTGGAGGAACATGCAAGCTGTCCAAGATATATAGTTCTCCAACTCTACGCCCGATCCCAATCTGCCTCTTGGATACCCGATCCTGCACAACACAATGAGAAGAAGAGAAAACAACATCAAAACCGAAATCAGATAATTGACTAATAGAAATAAGATTGAGTAAGAGGTGAGACACATAAAATACAGGAGAAAGAGACAAATGGGAAGAGGAAATAGAACCAATAGAGTGAACAGGCATAGAAAAACCATTAGCATTAGCAATAATAATAGAAGAAGAAGGAGAGACACAATTACTAAGGAAAGATGCAACAGGGGTCATATGATGTGAACAACCAAAATAAAAAATCCACGAAGTGTGGATATTACCTGAAGATGATGAACCAGACAAACCTAACTGAGTGGTAGTCATAGCGGAGGCTTGGGATGAAAAATTTGGATTGGCCACCATGAAAGACTTGAACTGCTCAAATATACACTATGTATTGGAAGACGAATCATTCTTAGAAACCGGTGCAGAGAAGGCGGCAGATGAGCGAGATCCTGAAGATGTCAGCTTAGAAGATGGTGGACCAGACGAACAACCCTTGGGCTACAAAAGTTTAGGACAAGCATGTTTCTAATGACCTTTCTGATGACAGAAGCTGCACTCATCCATGGAAACCCGAGGCTTAGGCTTACCAGTAACTTGAAATAAATGAGATGGTTGGGTAGGCAAGAGTGGAGGAGTGGCAAAAACTGAGTGGGAGGCAGGAGCACCATGAGCCACCTTGAACCGAGTTTCTTCCGCAATAACTCACGAATAGCACCATCAACAGAAGGCAAGGGGGACCAATGAAGAATAGCTCCCCAAAGTGGCTCAAATTGATCACGAAGGGCCATAAGAAACTGAACAAGACGTTGCTTCTCTCGACACTTGGTATAACTATCAAGTAACTACAAATCTGATGGTTCCATTAAAGCAAGCTGATCCTAATAATTTGTCATCTCATTGTAGAATTCCTGAATGGACTTATCTTTCTGACTAGCACTGCAAATAGACATCTCAAATTCATACTGTTTTGCAAAGTCAGACTCAAGATACATAGTTTTCAAATAGCCCCAAACTTGTTTAGAAGTAAAATACTTGGAAAAATTCATACCAATGGTAGTTTGAACCGAATTATGAAACCAAATAAGAATTTGTGCATTTTTCCTTATCCCATTTAGCAACATCATCCTCAGTTTCTTTGGATTCCATAGGTCTAATTGTTACACCAATAATATAGTTCCACATACCTTTACCCATTATAAAATTCTTCATTACATGAGACCAGTAAGAATAATTGGTACCATCCAACTTAGTAATGATAACTTGCAATTTATCATCAGCCATATTGCTATACCCAAACTATGCAGTGAATTCAAAACAGGGTTAAAACAGCAGCGAAGAGACAGAGAGAGATGAATGACCTGTCACTAGCAATTTATGGTCCTCATCGTTCTCTGCCCCCTCGTCGTTCTCTTCCTCCTCCACGAACCAGCCAGAGATAGAGCCAGGTCGAAGCAAAGAGAGAAGAGAGATACCCAACCTAGGTCTCCGAATGACCCAACCTAGGTCTCCAAATGAACCAGAGACCAGTAACGAAGAACCAGAGACCAGCGATGAAGGCTTCCTAGGGTTTCGATTGAACCAGAACCAGCAAGTGTGAGACGAACTGCTTCGATGTGCGAAGAAGAGAATCCCAACGAAGCCTTGCAATGACCTTGCGAAGAGAGAGAAAGAGCTACGATGGCCTTGCGATGAGAGGAAAAACTGCGATGGCCTTGCGAAGAAAGAGAGACAGCTGCAATGGTCAATGATGACCTGCGACAGGTATGCTAATGGTTGTAACCTCGCTCTGATACCATGATAACTGAGAAGAGGAATTCGATTTATTGAATTGATCAACACCAAAGCTAAGTACAAATATATAACCTCATAGAATAAACCCTAATAACTTAGAAGACTAAATTACCCTCAATGGATAATATAAACTACAAATACAAACAATTCACAGCATAGGCATAGGAGGGGCACATGCCCCTCTCAACTTTATGAAATTCACGCTTTAGTTTAGGTTTTTTTAAATAGTTGTTCAATTTGCCCCCTCTAAATTTGAATATATACTCTTTATGTTTTTTTATTTTAAATTTTTTTTCTATAATTTGCTTTATTTAAATGTTTATTTATGATGACATCTCCTTTATGATGTTATAAAGTCTACCTTTAAAAGGTTGTTTTTTATTCTTTCTACTAATACTTGCTAATTTATTTTTATTGCTATCTTTTTTTCTTCTTGTGTGATAAATATATGTACAAATATGTAGAATGACTGCTTGTTCGATGAAATCTCTCAATAAATTCTTGTTTTCTTTGGGGACAACCATCACAGTCGAAGTCGGTGTTGCAGTTAGGGTCAAAGGTTAAGGGTGTTAGGGCCGAGGCACGGTGAGGGTGGCGGACACTATTGTACGCATAACATTTTACCTTACTATTGCCCCCTGACCTACAAAAGTAGTTATAAGTAGCAGCTCTTCTTTTGCTGAGATATTTGCCTCCAATTTGGCTAACATGCATACCCAAGTATTTCGTCTCCAAGCTCTAAGCAGACCTAGATCACATGCATCAAAGTCTACTAGCCCCAAGAGCCATATTTTATGGCCTAATCCTAATGTAGGCCAGTCTGATTGAAGCTCTTTTGGGACAGATTTTGATTAGTACTTTTTTTAGAAGTGATAATTTTGTAAGTTCTAGCAAAACAATGAGTAATATTACAGGGAAGGCAACATAAAACAAAAAAGAATTTTGTCTCACAATTAATTCATAACATACAATTTGGTTCCATTGATAACTGTTATTTTGATAAGGAGAGAATTGAGCTTGCGGAAACTTTTCATCGGGAGAAAATCCTACAACAAAGGGACACATCATGGTTAATAGCCACCCAAAAAAAAAAAATCTCCAGTCAGCTTTGTCAAAGCTGACAATGATTAACTAACCTCACTTACCTTTTAACTCATTTTGGATATCAGTTCCTGATTCAACCAAAACACCACCAATATTTCTAGTAAAATTCGAATCATTTGATACTCTGAAAAAGAAACAAAAAATTTAAAATCAGTCAGAATGTAGAAAAAAATTTAGTCAGTTAGGTATAAGAACAACTACATCAGTTTCCAAAAGCATCATTCATGTCAGATATGGAAATGGGCACAGAATTTTTTTGATTGGCTTTGGCAACAACAAAAAAGAATATTATTAAAATGATAAAGAAAAAGAACAGTCAAAAGCGGTACTAGAGGTTGACCAAGAAAAAGAAAGAAAAAAACAATCTCACATTCTACAAATGGCTCTCCAATCCCTAGAAGTTAAAAAAGGAGGAACCCTCTAAAAGGAGCCGCCATGGACACCCAAAAAACAGATCATTTCCCAAATGCTTTCAATATCTTCTTTCCCCTCAAAAAAAAAATCATTCAATCCATCATACCCAAAGAACTACACCGACCACATATCTGCAAAGAGCCTGAGTCTTGCCATTTGATCCAAGACCTCTTAAGTCAATGCGAAGCAATGCTTACAATGGAATGAACCAATAAACCTCTGCCAATTTAAAGACTCTCCATCAAAAAGAAAGAGCCAAAGGACAATACAAGAATAAGTGATTGATGTTTTCCTCAACATCCCCACACATAACATACCACTGTGGAAACATGTAACAAATTGGCCTTCTTTGAATCATGCCATTATTATTAAGCTTCATGTGAGCCAATGTCTATGTGAACACTTCAATGTTAAGAGGCACATAAGCATCCCAAATCATCTTACAAAGAAGAGAAGGAAGATAACATGTGCAATCAATAAGCTTCCCAAAAAAGGATTTGCAAGAGATCATTCAAGATGAATGGACAGACCACACCATGGTTTCGAATAATGGAATCAGGATAAGATCGTTGAGCTATAATTACTCAGTAAATTCTTTTTCTTCGTGACTAAGCAAGATTAATTTGAGTTAAACTTGGTCACTTAAGCTAATGAAACAATTAGTGAAATAAGCTAATTAGTTCGTACAACAAAAGAGAGAAAGGATGGAGAAAGACGGAGAAAGTTAGATAGAAACTTTCAAACTGAGAGGTAGAAGAGAAAGTTAGAGAGAAGAAAAAAAGAGAAATAGGAAGAAAATCAAAGCGAATTTAAATTCATCCTGTTGAACTTGAGAATTGAACACTTATGTGATCTAGAAAACCTTAAGTGAGGTGCTTAAGTTAGACAAAGATTGTTGAGCTATAATTACTCAATAAATTCTCTTTCTTAGTGACTAAGCAAGATTAGTTTGAATTAAACTTGGTCACTTAAGCTAATGAAACAATTAGTGGAATAAGCTAATTAGTTCGTACAACAAAAGAGAGAAATGATGGAGAAAGACAGAGAAACTTAAAGAGAAACTTTCTTACTGAGAGGTATAAGAGAAACTTAGAGAAAACAAAGAGAAATAGGAAGAAAATCAAAACAAATTCAAATTCATCCTTTTGGACTTGAGAATTGAACACTTAGGTGATCTAGAAAACCTTAAGTGAGGTGCTTAAGTTAGACAAAGATCGTTGAGCTATAATTACTCAGTAAATTCTTTTTCTTAGTGACTAAGCAAGATTAGTTTAAGTTAAACTTGGTCACTTAAGCTAATGAAACAATTAGTGGAATAAGCTAATTAGTTCCTACAACAAAAGAGAAAATGATGGAGAAACAGAGAGAAAGTTAGAGAGAAACTTTCTTTATGAGAGGTAGAAGAGAAAGTTAGAAAAAAAGAAAGAGAAATAGGAAGAAAATCAAAGCGAATTTAAATTCATCCTTTTGGACTTGAGAATTGAATACTTGGGTGATCTAGAAAACCTTAAGTGAGGTGCTTAAGTTAAACAAAGATCGTTAAGCTATAATTACTCAGTAAATTCTCTTTCTTAGTGACTAAGCAAGATTAGTTTGAGTTAAACTTGATCACTTAAGCTAATGAAACAATTTGTGGAATAAGCTAATTAGTTCATACAACAAAAGAGAAAAAGGATAGAAAAAGAATGAGAAAGTTTGAGAGAAACTTTTTTACTGAGAGGTAGGAGAGAAAGTTAGAGAAAACAAAAAGAAATAGGAAGAAAATCAAAGCAAATTTAAATTTATCCTTTTGGACTTAAGAATTGAACACTTAGGTGATCTAGAAAACCTTAAGTGAGGTGCTTAAGTTAAATAAAGATTGTTGAGATATAATTACTTAGTAAATTCTCTTTCTTGATGACTAAGTAAGATTAATTTGAGTTAAACTTGGTCAATTAAGCTAATGAAATAATTAGCGGAATAAGTTAATTAGTTCCTACAACAAAAGAGGCCAAAATCCCCTTACAACGTGCAAGAACCAATATTTAAAACCCTAGGCCACAACCTCTTAGCAAAAGAGCCATTGGACAAGGAAAAGCCCTCAAGAAATGTCAACAAAGAGGCAATCATAGATTCTCTATCATTACGATTTCCAAGGTCAAGGCTCTTTTTATTGCAAAAAAATTGGAATTAAAATAAGAAGAACTAGGCACCTATGCAAGAATACTCCCAAGTTCAAAGAAAAAGTTACGCAAATCTTCTACAACCATAATTCCTCCTAATTTGTCCAAAGGTCTTAGTCAATAGCTGAAAACTGATGTAAAATTCAACTTTACAAGTCAACTGATTTACATAAACGTTTTCCTTTTCCAATCAGAGTCAAAAACAGACAGGAGAGAAAGGAAAATGTATAAGGGCAAACAGCTTTAATTTATTACTGCTTAAAAGCACAACCCTCAACTTCCAGAAAAATGGCTACTAGATCTGTTCGTTACAACTCCAGTAATTCTAGGCAACATTTCGCCAAATAGATAACCCCGATTGGGAATATAATAGAATGCCCACCCAATTTCATAGCTCAAATGGACTGTTTGGAGAAAAAACAATCCCATGTATGAGGCCTGAATGCATTATAAATCATAAGCTCAAAATTACAAATTTCAGATCAAGGCTATCTACCATTTAGTAACAATTAGATATAAATATAACCACGAAAATTGGGGAAATAGAAGAACCACATGGTATACCAAAGAGTAAGTGTCTACAATAAAATGCAAAGTACAACTTCACTTATATTTTAAGAGAAAGAAAAATAGAAATAAGTACAATTATTAAGGAAAAATTAAAGACTAATCATACCTAAGAAGAAAACTGTCAAATTCATGTAATGACACCAATATTGCAGATAACTGAGCCAAGTTATCGGCATTCTTGAATCTTACAATTGGAGCAACAACTTTATCACGGCCAGGATCTAAGAATACAATGGAAGTTGTTGGTAAAGGGGAATAATAATGCAAAAAATATATATATATACATATTATACTACGTAAAAATAAAAATAAATTGATTCCATGAAACTCTTATGAGGTGAACTACATGGATACGTACTTGAACAACCAATCTCCCCAGACAAGTTAAGAAGTCGCACACAAGGAAATCCATCAACAACCATGTACATTGACTTCTCGAGGTCAGGAACTGACTCCAGCAAGTTCACATCTTCTGAAGCTGCTCAAAATTAGAAAAAGATTCAAATTGAAGAAGAGAAAATCAAAAATATGAAAACAAGAAAGATTAAGAAGTAATCTAATTTCAAGAAAACATACAATACACAACCAAGCATGATTAAACCAAACCAAACTATGCCTTGTGTCCCAATCAACTGGGGTCGGCTACATGAATCATTTTCCTCCATTTAGCTCAATCAAGGGCGATATGCTCAGTTAAATCAAATAAATTCATATCTTTCTTTTACTACTGCATCAGATATTAACTTAAGTCTCCCCCTTCCCCCAGCATCTCTATTTATGTGATCACATCACTTTTCCTTACTGTTGTATCTATAGGTATTCGTTATATATGACCAAATCATCTTAACATGTTCTCTCTCAACCTATCTTCAATAGGTGCTACTGCTACCATTTCACAAATATATTCATTTTTAATTTTATCTTTTATAGTATTACCACATATCCATCTAAGCATTATTATCTCAACTACACTCATTTTATGCACAAGTTGTTTCTTAGTCACCCAATGTTGTATCCTGTAAAGCATCGTTGGCTTTATAATTGTTCTATAAAAAATTTCTTTCAATTTTGTTGGTATTCTTTGATTACAAATTATGTTAGACACACTCCTTTCTCTTGAGCCAACCTACTTTAATTCTATGAATCACATAATTTCCAACCTTACCATCCTTGTTAATAATTGAACCTAAGTGACGAAAATATTCACTATTTGTTATCTTCTAGTTTTCAATCTTCACTTCTACACTATTTTAACTTCTATTATTGCTAAAGTTACATTCCATATATTCAGTTTTATTTCTATTTATTTTAAACTCTTTTGACTCAATTTCTCCTCTTCATATTTCTAATTTAGTGTTAATTCCTTTTTTAGTTTCATTTACTGGAACGATATCATTAGCAAACAACATCCACCATGGGAAGTTATCTTGAATATGTTTAGTTACTTCATTCATGACTAAGACACATAGGTAATGGCTTAAAGTTGACACTTGATGCACTGCTAGAGTGATTGGGAATTCAAATGTTTTTTTTTTTTTTAGTGTGTGCGTGTGTGAACAAGTGACCACTAAGAATGGGCTCTCAAGCTTCTCTCATATGAAGTTCACATTTCTGTATTGACCTCTCATCATAAACTCAAAATAAGATAAAAATAAGCCAAACTCCAGCTAATCAGTCTGGGTAAAAACCATAGAAATTTGTCCTTCGTCTTTTTCTTTTTCTATGTTTGGATTTGGATTTGCTGGAGTGCCCTACTAATACTAAAGCCCTGGAAATTTGAGCAGTCAATGAATTATATCACAAAACAGACATTCCTCCTAACCATTGTTTTAACAAGCTAATCAGAAATGTGTGACGCTCTGTGACTCAATATGGAATTGATAAGTTATCCGATAAACCCTTTTCATATGACAATCCCAATTCATGCTCCATTCAGTTGCCTAGTTAAGAAAAACGAAAAAATAATTCTTTAAAACTAATTGACAGTAAATACCGTACACCACGATTAAATTGTGTTCAATACACACACGTACACAAACAATACAGGAACACGGAGGACTGACTAAGCATTTGATTTTCTCAGGAACCAAACGGAAGGATCAAATTAGAAGACAAAATGTAGAAAAAGCGATTCAAAGACAAGTGAGTCTCACCTGAAAGAGAGGTGCGAAGGGGAGCGAGGAAGCATAGAAGGAAATACAAGAGCTTGGAAGCCATGGGCGAAGAGGAATGTATCAGTGTAAAGAATCAGAAACCCTAAACTCTACGCCCATCAATGTCGTCACAGCCTTCTCTCTCTCTCTCTCTCTCTCTCTCTCTAGTCTCTGAATATTTGGGTTGACTGGTTAATTGAGAGACTCACTTGAGCATAAGACTCTTCTTCTTCCTTTAAGAATTAGAGAAAGCTTTTCGATTGGGTATGCTATGCATCTCTGAACAGGTTAAATTACGGGTACGGATCTTGTTCGATAACCTGTTTATTAGGCCCTTAGCTGATGTTTTGATCCGCCTCTGAATCGTTGGAATTAATCGATTGGTCGCATTGTAGATAGATGTATGACAGATGAATAGATAGTTACATGAATAGATAGTTACAGATTGATTTTTTTAATTTGTTTAGTTTTTAAGATTTTTTTAATTTTAATTAAATCGTCAAATCACGAGTACCTTAATAATTAAAACGTTTTGTGTTTTTAATTTGTTTAAGTAGCCTTTGGTAATATTTATAATTTTAATTTATATTTATAAAAATTTTATAAATTGATTTTTGTTTATTTTTAAAAAAACATAATTACAAATGCGTTTGGTTTGAACAAAATATTTGAAATTTTTTAAAAATATAAACTAAAAAATATGTTTGTTCAAGCTTAAAATATTTTAAATTTATTTTTTATTATTTATGACAGCGGATCATACACATTATAATTAAAAAAACTAATTGGGAAAAAAAATAATTGAAAAAATTTAATTGTAAAAAAATTAATTGAAAAAAAAATTAATTGGGAAAAAAATTATTTGAAAAAAAAATAATTGAAAACAAAATTATTTGGGAAAAAAATTAATTGAAAAAAAAAATCATTGCAAAATAAATTAAAAAAATTATTTGAAAAAAAAATAATTGAAAAAAAAAATTTGTTAGTCAAATATTTAAATTTCTGTTTAAAAACCAATGTAAACTCATTTTTTGAATTTACGTTTTTTTCTCAAATTTATAAACTGAGACAACCATTTATAAACCAAAAAAATTATCAAACAAATTTTTATGACAATTTTAAAATTTTTTGTAAATATAAACTAAAAACTAAAAATTAAATGGTTACCAAACAGGCCCTTAGATATTTAGTTTGTGTTTTCAATTAAAAAAAAGTTTGGATATTCTGTTGTGTGTTTAATTTATTTTCAATTTGGAAATCTTTTTATCAAATGGCAAGTATTAATATTTAATATTTTTGTGTGGAAAATGTAAGGCTTAATTTTGTCATTTTAAAAAAAAATCAAATTAAATAGTTTTTGAATAAAAAAAAGTAATGAAGTAGTTTTGATAATGCATGGTTTTCTTATATGTATTTATTATTGGTATTTGACAATTTACTTGATAATCTTTTGGTTATATTAAGTTGGATTGTTATCCAAAAAAAATGTTTACAAGTTATTATATTATGTTCAACATTTGTAAAAGTTTAAACCGCCAAACCGATTTGCATCCATCCACCAATCCACTGATCTACTCAATTCGCATTCACCAATCCGGTAGACAAATGCAAATCGATTTTTTTGCAATTTACCAATCCAATAGACGAATGGCGGATTAGAGGTCTCCTGGCTGCAATCGAACCGCGAGTATCCCTACTGTGTATGTATGCTCTGTTTGTTTATACAAGTGTGATCGTCTTTGATAAAACTTAAGTCACGTTTGTTTGGCTTCTTAGAATGAAAGGGATTAAAAATACGATCTAATTGATGAGTGAAAAGATTATTAATAAGATGATATTAATTTAGAAATGTAGGATAAATAGTATTTGTTTCTACACCACCGGATTAGTAATACTATTTGTATATAAAATATTTATTAAGTTTTAGTATTTTTTTAAATAATATGATTATTATTTATTATTATAAAAAATATAATTTTTACTTAAAAATCATTCAAAATTTCACTAATCCCCTCAATTAATTTCTAATCATAACTCTCCTATGACTTTGTTAGTCCTACTACATGGGAGGATTTCTAGTCCAAATGAATAGTTAATTCCCTCACTTATGTCTCTAACCAAACACTCTTTAAGTGGGTCCCACAAATTATTAATCCAATTTCTCTTCCTAAAGAGTCAAACAAACATGACCTTAGAGTAATGCTAGAGATCTCAAAAGTTTTATCAAATGTCTCGTATAGGTGCAGGTCTTATATGGAACCCATGCCCATATGAGACATTTGCTAGAAATTTTTTTGAAATCTCTAGCATCTTTCTAAAAGTTATTCATTGTTTGAGAAATTGGCTATTTTAGTTAATTATCAAAATTTTTGGTTATCTTAACTTGGTTAGAAAATTTGTGTTTGGAAAATTATTATTATTTCTTTTTTGGTAGTTGATTTGATAATTGTAAGAACAAAAGTGAAATGATTATAGATTGAATGAACATTTTGTCTTATTGATTATTTTAGCATACTTTATCTGTTAGTGGACTATTTTAGTTCAGCCCTCTTTCCAAACAAATTCTATGTATATGTTCTGTTTGTTTAAGCCAAATTTATTTATTTGTAATCATAAAAAAAAAAACTCTTTATATCCGTGAAAGGAATTTTTAATTTTATCAATTTAAATCTTAATTTTATTTGTTTTCAATCTAAATTATTAGTATATTTTTATTAAGTAAAGTCTACGGAAAAATAATATTTTAGTCATTAAACTAATTGTAGGTATGCATAAAATGTCCAAAATACTCTTTTCATTAAGTTTAACATCTAAAATATTATTTTTTTTATCGATTTTACTTAACAAAAATTGATTGATGGTTTAGATTAAAAACAAATCAAAAGTTTAGAGTTTAAATTAATAAAACTAAAAATTTAGAATTTATTTTGTTACAATGATCAAACCGTGATTTTATATATATATATATATATATATTTTTCCTTTTGTTAAAAAAAATATTTTATGTACTTTATTGGTATTTAGCATAATAGAAAATGAAAGTTAATATAGTCAAGAAAAAAAAAAAAGTTATTTGGACAAAAAATATTTTCCACTTTAAAAGGTGAAAAATATTTTTCAAAATAAAGTATTGTAATACCACAACACTACTATTTCCACTATCACCCCATCATTATTGCTACCGCTATCACCACATCTATCCTACCACTATCGCTGTTGCCGCCATCATCTCTATCTCACCATTATTACCTCCACCCTCCCACCGTTATCGCCATCATGACCATCACCACCCCACAACCATTAATACATTAGATTTAAGAATACAACTCTACATACAAAAACGTTTTATACGAAGGGCTCGTTTTGGATGTGAGTTGACTTTTTAACTATTTTAAGTCTCGTTTTGGGAACAGACTATTTTTGTAATTTTTTTTGACTTTTTACCAAAAGATGTGAAAAAAATAGAGAGAGTGATGTGACAACTTGACTTTTTGGCTAATATGTTTAATTTGTCTCATTTAGGGGAGACTTTTTGGCTTTTTTTTAACTTTTGTGAGAGAAAAATGAAATGATTATAACTTGAATGTGACATTTTGTCTTATTGACTTTTTAGGTTTTTTTTTTTTTTTTTTACTATTTTAACCCCGTGGCCATTTTCCAAACGAGTGCAATTAGAAAAACAAATCGTATAAAATATTTTTTACTGAAAGAAACTAATCAGCTTGTTTGGTTTTGGTTTTTAAAAAACACTTTTCAGGAAATTATACTTTTTTATTTTTCATATTTTTTTCATTTTCAATGAATTTTTTAAATATTTTTAGCAAATGTTTTAAATTTTAGACACACCTAACATAAATACACTTAAAAAGTATAATATTTGTGAAAAAACTTTTAAAAATTCACTAAATGTCAAAAATAAAAATAAAAATGCAAAAACTCAGTATATTTTTCGTATTTTTTTTTTATTTTCAATGATTTTTTTTAACATTTTAAGCAATTTTTTTTAATTTTAGGCACACCTAACATAAATATGCTTAAAAAGTATAATATTTGTGAATTTTTTAAAAAAAAAAAATCACTAAATGCCAAAAATATTTAAAAAATACAAAAATTTAGTATATTTTTTGTATTTATTAATTTTTTAAAATATTTTACTATTTAGATATATCTAAGTAAGGTGTATCTAAAAAAGTAAAAAAAATGGTTAAAATTTAAAAAATATTCACTAAAAACAAAAAAATGTGAAAAACAAAAAATTTAATTTTCAAAAAACTGAATTCAGAAAACTAAAACTAAACACACGAAATGCTGTTCAATATTTAAAATTAAATGTATTTTATGAAATTAAAATAATTTATTTGATAATCATAATTCATATTAAAAATATGATAAAATTTTGGAGATTTTTTTTTTAAGGTCCCTGTTATTAAAATTTTATAATATAAAGGACACTAAACATTTTCATAATGTCTAAGGTCCCTCAACATTGATCCAGAGAAAATTCGACCTAGAGATTTTCTCTACACAGAAATTCTATTTCTCTGCACTTCCCCAAAGAATTTCTCTGTGTTTTTTTATCAATTTTGTCTGGTTTGCTCATAATTTTCTCTGTGTTTTTTTATCAAACCAGAGAAAATTAAACAACCACCATTTTCATTTTGACCAATTTTCTCTAAACTGTAAGACATTCAGGCAACAACAACCCAGAAAAAATTGAACAAACACCATTTTCATTTTGACCAATTGTCTCAGGACTGTAAGACATTCAAAACACCAAAAGCAATAGAGATCACAACACAGCACTTAACCAGACTAGTAAATTTCACCAACAATGGTATGAAGTTCATGGCTTGCTTCTTAATGATGACCATATCGTAAATGTTACTCTAAAAAGCTTAAAACCCTTATAAAATTCAAAAAACTTGAATTCTTTGGGAAGTCCAGAAATTCTTTGGGTTCAAACTAGAGAAAATTCAAAATATTCAATTTTCTCTGAATTTCTCTGGATTGAACTCAGAAAAATTTCAATTTTTCTAGATAATTGTCACGACCCAAACCCGCCCCTATGGGTTTAGCACCGTAACCGGCCAGTAATCTGAGATTACCAAAGGTCTGCTTAACAATAATAACAATAATACAGAGTACAGGGGCTGGCGGAAGCCAAAACAGTAATTAAAAGATGTCCAATGAGCTGTGACAGTATGTATGCAAAAAGACTTTTCATATTATATACACATTCAAAACAAAACAGTACATACATACATCATATACAGATATTCAGGTTAGGGACCGGATCCCTACCATAACAGTACATTACGATATCATTCAGTCTATACAGTAATTACAAAACAGATACAAAAAGGG